TGCATCCCCGCCCGCCGCCGACGCTTCGGGAGACGGAGGCAGACGGCCCGCGCGCGCCAGACACTGGGGGCGGCGGGGGTGTACGTGTCGAGGCTACGCGCACGGAGCCGGCTGCGTCGTAGCTCTTCGCGGAGCGTCGACGCGTGCGGTGTGGGTGTCGCAGACGGAGGGCACCCGGAGCCGCAGAACGGAGCCGCGGCTCGTGTTCGTCGTAGATCGCGGGTATCATGATCTGCGCGCATCCGTCAGCAACGCTGCGCCCACGCGAAAGAGGACATGCACGCATGCTGTATTCGTAGATATAATTCCATCCGTCGTGTGTCCGGTCGGGGTCGAGGGGTGCACCGGCGTCCTCGTCCGCGATAACACCTGCGTGCGCCCGTGCACCGAACGCTTCGTCCAGCTCGATTCCAAGTGCGGGAAGACGTCCCTAGGGGTCTCCATCGGACCCCGCCCGCGCTCGCACACCCGGACGGGCGGTCTATGCTGCATCGGCGGGGCGAGGATGCGGGCGGGGACAACGCTGTTGGACGCGGACGCCGCACGGTCTTCAGTCGTGATTAGCGGGTGCCGTCGCGGGGCGGGGTGAGTATGTGGGGCGTGGGCCGCGGCTCGTGGTGGAGTAGACAGCGTCGAGCGCGCGCGAGCCAGATCCGTCGCACCGCTGGGGGATTGCGTCAGCGCGCACGAAGGAGGACACACACGGGGAAGGGGCGCCGGCGGAACGGAGATGCAGGGACGGACACGGTTCCCGGGCTGCATCCATACCCGCACCCGAGCTTTGAGGCGGCCCCAGCAGGAGGGTATCATCGATCCAGTAACGCTGCGTTTGCGCGAGGAAAGACATGCCCGCGCGAAGAACGACGCGCAGGGAAAAGCACATCGCGACCAGATACGATGGGCGCGGGCTGCCGTGCAGTGTGGGCTGGACGCAGCTCGTGGTGGTATACGAGAGTGTCGGCCGCTGCCAGGACGGGCCTGCGTGAGCGTATCAGTAACGCGCGGAGGGGGACACACACCAGCTGGAAGTGCCGACGGGCAGTGGAGACGCGGGCGGTCCTAGCTGTATCCGTAGGTATAATTCCACTCGTTGGCGATCCCCGCTTGACGGCGCGAGCGCGAGTCTTGAGCGCTTGAGCGAGCAGGGGAGATGGGAATGCGGGGTGCATCGGTGTCTGCGTTCGAGCACTGTGCCCGCGTGGACGATCGGTCTATACGACGGCGCAGGCGGCGGGCAGCGTCGTCGCCGGTGCCCCGCGGCATGCACCAGGGGATTGCTGCGGCCCACAGGGCGCGCGATAAGCGATGTGGTGTTCGACGACATCGTCTGCGGGCAGCGCCGTGAGCCCTCCGCGCGGTATGCACCACTGGTAGGGCGATCAATCATCGCCCTCGGGCTATCCTTCCCGTACGGGCGCAAATCGACGTTGGCGCTGGAAAGAGATCGGGAGCGGGCCCATATGGCGCGCAAGACGCTACACCTCCCGCAGTAGAGCCCGATCGTCAGGTTCGCGGATGACGTCGCAAGATTGAGCAGCGAAGACCGCCCCGCTGATGCTGGGGGCCCGCGTACGACGGCCACTCCGGCGCCACATCATTGTTCCCGTGTCTGTACACCGAAGGCTTCGTCCAGCGCTCGCGAATACGTCACTCTCGGGGCTTCTATTCGAGAAGTACAGTCGTCAGTCGTCCGCCCATCCAGTCGTATGAAGCGCATCGACCTAACCCGCAGCCGGTGTCAATGACGCAGATTGGCAGCGGGGATTTCGTACGCACCGTCGGCATCGCCCTATAGTCCTATAGCAGCGGTCCGTCGTCTTGAAAGCCGTCCTTAGCGCCGTCCATTCGTGAGCGAAAAGGGAAAACAACAATTAAATCCAATTTCCAAATCAAGACACGCGTCAAAACTGCTTACCCAACGAGCTTTCCCTCGCCGGCACGACAGATGAGCACGCCGTTCAGCAGCGCTGTTGAGGCACTTGCTGTTTGAGCTGTTGAAGCTCCACCCCAGTGCAGTACACTTGCACACTTGGTGGCTCAATTCACTTTAGCCCTGTGAAACGCGACATCAGAAGCATGCACAATGATTTCAATTGCGGACGACATACATTTTACTAGGCTGACCCAGGCTGAGACGACGATGGCAGCTGAGACGACGGCGACGAGCTGCGGTAACCGTCCGAGCCGCGGGAAGGGTCGGAGCTGCGGCCTGCTGGTAGTTCAGGATATGACCTTGCGTGATGATAGTGGACATACCATCCATTCCCGACGAGTGGTGGTTGATTGCAGAGCTACTTTGGAGCACACGATTGACGGTTGGTGGTGCAAACTCGCTCGAGATTTCTAAGTCCGAGGTTAGAAAGGACCCACAAATCAAATTTGGCACTTACCGCGACGAGCCGGCGTGGATAGGATGACCTGGCTGAACTGGCCGTACCCATTGTTGGAGGCTAAGCATTGAACATTCAGAAAAGGTAAAATGAGGGATGAAGGACGTACTTTGGAACCTCCCCGAGGTTGAAGTCGACTGGAGAGGGTCGGGGAATACACGGGAAGGGAGGGGCAGTATAGGCCTGGAGCTGGCTTGTTCTGGCAATGCTGCAGATCGTCGTTCGGGGACTGGCTGGGTCATTACAATTAAAGGGGTGTCGTCGCTCGGATGGCGCCGCTTCTCAGTTGCGAGGGCCTTCGCAATGAATCTGGAAATGAGGTCAGGAAAGAGATAATTACAATGATCGAGACGCTCACGCAGACCACCCGGGGGATTTGCGATCCGTTCCGTACTCCTTGGCCTTGGAATCGAAGTTTTTGCCGGCGACAGCCCACCATTTAGACCCGGAGTCGTTGTCGGAGAATAAACAGACAAAAGGAACATTAGATCTTGCCGTCATGAACTGCCCGATGCGACTGATCATATCCGCAACGGATTCATTTTTCTTGCCTTTCTTCTTCTTCTTCTTGTTCAATTGGGTGGCATTCTCTCGACCACTACCATTGGCCGACGAAGCGTCACTGGCACTACTCACACTACCAACATCCGAGTTGGCGGCATTGTCAGTTTCATCGTCCTCGCGATCGGGATCGCCCTTGGCCCAACACACACGACAGAAAAACTTTCCTCGGAATCCAATATGGCAGGCGAACTCGCTTTGCATCGGATTGTCCCCCAGCATTGCAAGAACTGATGGAATAACCAGCACTAACTCCTGAAATTCGGAGTCCCATACCCATATACCATGCTCTTGGCAGGCTCCGCATAATAATTCAGTATGCATGTCTCGTAACTCCACGCACTCACTTTAGCTGATCCACGATGCCATCGAGCATTTCCAGGGGCGGAGCGATGTTGGAAGTTGCACTTCGGGCGGACATATACCTGACCCATATTAGGGTGAATGCCCCCACCAGAGATGACTACCCCAAAGGGGTCCCAGGCATAGGGCGGCTCCCGGTGGGTGGGAGCTCCCATCCCGAGCTGGCCGGGAGGCTCCCAGCACCAAGTTCTACGGGTGCTCCCATGTGTTTTCTGATGACGGGGCCTCCCGTCTGCCCCCGCAGGGGGATTTTTTTCGCAATTTTGGGCCTCCACGCAGCGCGTTTGCTGCTCCCTGGGGGGTACCTTGTAAGGAGCCTCTCTGGCTTTATTCCTACTGATCCTAGGCACACTATGCTGTTGAGAGTGCCTCCATAGGCAGCCCCCCACAGGGGGGGGATTTTTTCGCAATGTTCGGGCTCTGCACGCACCGTTTGCTGCTCCCTGGGGGCTGTAAAAGCACCTGGGATTTGGGTTCTCTCACTTTATTTCTAGTGTCCATGGCTACCCCCACTAGCTCGTGCCAGGGAATTTATTGCAGTGATTTCAGATTTCCAGCTCTCTGCCTATGATAGGATCTATTCATCCCACTGCTCTACCTGTCGGTGCTTGCGACCAGCCATCCCACCATATACGTGCTTCAACAACATGTATACTCCCTCTTTATGTTAGCTTGAATGGACATTGTATTCTAATGCCCAATCTGTTCAACTCCATGTACCGTCCGCAAAGTTTGGAGCGACCAGCCATCCCACCATATATGTGCTTCAACATGTATACTCCTCTACTTTAGTATAGATGGACATGTCCCATCTGTTTAACTCCGTGTACTGTCCTTCATGTTTAGATGCTTCCAATTTGCTGTTATGGGTCATTCTGTAGAGTCCTTATGGCTCCCTTATGTATTTCTTACTAGGGCGGGAGCTTCCGTTGGACAGGGTTTATGTGCTCCCGGATGCTCCCAGCCATTATTTATGAGTTTGGCAGGAGGCCCCGTCCCCCTGCCCCGGAAGCTCCCGCCGACAAGGGCGGGACCTTCCGGCAACATCAGCGGGGCCTCCCAGGTGACTTCAGCGGGAGACCCCACCACATGCAGGGCACTCCCGCCCTGAACAGCACAGGAGCTCCCGCCTCAGGGCTCTGGGAGCTCCCACCCTGGGCTATATATCCCCTGGGAGCTCCCACCTAATCACTATATGCACTGGGAGCACCCGCTCATACTCCACATACATGCGGGAGCTCCTGCCCACATTCCATATACATGCGGGAGCTCCCGCCCACATTCCACATACATGCGGGTGCTCCCACCCACATTCCACATGCATGCGGGAGCTCCCGCCCACACTCCATATGTGGTCGGGAGCACCCAGCCCTCCTTCAGCAATGTACGGGAGCTCCTGGGTATTTTTATTGGCTTACCGGGTGCTCCCATGTTGACCCCTTTTAACTTGTCTGACTTGGTGTATTTTTTTACAAAATACAATTTTTTATAAGTACTACATTTTTTGCACATGTACATATGTTATTTGTTTTTTGGAGGCTTATTTGTTTTTGGAGACTTACATGTTTTTTAGGATTGTTTAAACCAGAATTCCCTTTTCGGGACAGTAGCGGTTGTTTGTATGGTAGGCTGGGTTTATACTTTATTGCTGGTGAATCTGGTATGCGACATGTGTATTTTTCCTATGACCTTGTGGCTTAGTGGTTATTGCGTCGACGAGTATTTGCACCGCTTTCATTAAATTGCACTCTGTCGAGGTCGTAGGTTCCAATCCTACCAAGGTCATTTCATTTGCTTCCCTTTTTACAGCCGTTTGCGGAACATAGGGCGCGGGCAGTTTTTTTTTCCATTTTGGGCCTGTTTAGATCATTTTCGACTAGAACACCCGCCCCGGCCTCAAATCGTGTCCGTTTTCTCTGAAAGTTGGACCATTCGATCCGCCCTTGAAATTCGCAGCGGATGGCACCCTGGATTTGTCTCGAGACCATGCATACTCCATCTCTGGCACCCGGATATCTACTGTCAGCGCACTTTCTGACTAGAACAGCTGCCCCGGGCCCGGATGGCGGCCGTTTTCCATGGAAGTTGGACCATTCGATTCGCATTTGAAATGCGCAGCGGATGGACGCCTCAGATTGTAAACGCGGTGCATAAGCCTATTTCCTGACTCAACAACCAACCTCTCAGCGCATTTTTGGGATAGGACAGCTGCAGAGATGGTTATACTGTCTTGAATCACGAACCTTTTTGATACGATGAACTTCAGTGTAATCCGCAGCGGATGGCCTCCTAGGATAGTGATTATAGCGGGTATTACTATGTAAATTTGTGTTGTCACAGTGGTGATACCTAGAAAATATTCCTGACAAAAGAACAAGTTCACCAGGCAAGTTGTGACTGTGAACTGTGTCCAGGGCTCAGTCTGTCATGTAAAAATCCAACACATGGAATGTGACTGATGGAAATAGGACGCGTCGTGCGACGCGTCGGAGGGTGATTCTAAAGAATTCAAACATGTAGATGTGATTTTTACATGACAGACTGAGCCCTGGACAGTTTGAATTCTTTAGAATCACCCTCCGACGCGTCGCACGACGCGTCCTATTTCCATCAGTCACATTCCATGTGTTGGATTTTTACATGACAGACTGAGCCCTGGACACAGTTCACAGTCACAACTTGCCTGGTGAACTTGTTCTTTTGTCAGGAATATTTTCTAGGTATCACCACTGTGACAACACAAATTTACATAGTAATACCCGCTATAATCACTATGCTTTGTGGGCGGTGGCACTGCGCGCGAGTTCATCCCGGGTGAACATCAGGATGTAGCCGCCCCGGTGCAAGTTCACATGGAAAAGGGCAGGGTGCGGGTGGGGCGCGGGGCGGGCGGGTCGATCCAGGCATCTTGCATGATGAGCGGAGCCGGCGGGGCAGCGGCTGAGGAGCGGAGGGTGCAGCGTTCGACGGGCATTTGGAGGGCAGGATGAAGGGAGTGGGGCAGGGACTGCTGGCGGTCAGAAAATTGGGCGGCAAGTTAAATACCAGCACCCACCCACTAGTTTAGGCAACTCAACACAATGATCGTCTTGGTGGCTCGACCAAATGCACCCCATCAGGTAAGCAGTGAGTGGCCTTCGCTCGATCCTGGTCCTCCATTGTCAGTACGTTTGTCTTTCCTTATCAGTCTAACAATGTACCCACCGTCCTAAATTCCTATGCCACCGGCATCTCCAAGATCTTTTTTCCCCGTCTCGTATACACAGTTTCAGTCGAGAAACGTCGTAAAAAGGTCATTAAAAAAGGTCGTAAATAGGTCGTAACGTAAGAGAAAAAGAATACGTATGAAAGAAAACAGAAAAGGATATGTAGGGAATTAATACAGGTTCCAGCGACGGATTGTCTTGTCATATCTGAGGAGTTCCTCGTCTACGAAGACAGCTTCGTAGCCGTCCCGCAGCCGCTCCCACTCCTCCGTGTTCTTATCCAAGAACATTGTCCTCTTCTCCGCGGGCCCATGTCTCCCAGCCATCGTCTTCTTCAGCTTGCTGTAGAAGACTTTTTCTTCGTCTTCACCGTTGCGCAGGCGGAACTGGACAAGGCCCGCCGCTTGTTCACGGGCGTCTTCGGCGAGGCTCCTCTTGGCGGCTTCCAAAAACACCCCGACGCTCTTCCTTCTCCGCCTTCTTGTATTGCTTGCTTCCGCCTGGACGTGACCGACTGACGGACCGACTGCGCTCATCGTGCTGCACACACGGTTTCTTGGGGAGGCGGCGTGCCTCATGGGTCGACAACTCTTCCCGAGGAACAAGGGGTGCGTCCGCGTCGTCACGGGTGCGTTTGGTGGGGCGGCGCATAGGTGATGGTCGGCGACGGAATGTGCTCGAACGCAGGGAGCGCTGGTGGCCACAAGAGTCGTCGGAAAGAGCGCGGCGCGCGGGAGAACGGGAACGGGAACGGTGGAGCTCGCGACCACGAGGCTCGTGAGCAGGCGCGCGCGGGCCCGGGGAACGAGACCACGAGCGGCGAACAGTCACGAGGCAGGAAGGGGAAGGGGAACGGGCGCTGGAACTGGAGCGGGCACGCCGAGTAGCCGCGGGGCGGGGAGGCAAACGGGAACGGGAGTGGGCACGCCGGCGATGGGTGGTGGACTCCCCGCCACCCCGACGACCCTCGCTGGGCTTTTTGGACTTGAGTTTCGGGGCAGCACGCTGTTTCGCCTTCCTCCACCTCTGCTTCTCTTTGGCTGTGGCGGCCACAAATTTCGTCGAGCTTCGCACCGTGGACAAGTGTGTCCTGGCCAGGCTGCTGATCAGGGGAACACCGCTCTGCTCCTCCAGCGACAACGCCATCTCCGCTGCCATCCATGCGACGATGCACGGCGCCTCCGCTGCCAGCTTCTCGTCGTCTTCTGGGTCGTCTGTTGTCAGACCGTGGCGGCGTTCCAGACGCGGTAAGATGCGGTGGAGATCTTCTTCGGAAATGCGGTTAATGCTGAAGCCGGATTTGGGGAAGCAGCCTCGCAAGGCCATCTGGTCGTCCCAGTTCTCCAGCCGCCGCTCGTGCTTGAACCCGTAGTCTTCGAAGCCCCCCCATTTCATCTGAGGGGTGGGGGCTGTGAGGGCGTCCTGAGCGGACAAGGCGCTGCTTTCCGCGTCGAGTTTGACTGCAGTGCAATGAGGACCATCTCTACATTGTACGAACAGGCATTACTCACGCATGTCAGCCACCAAGCAGTCCTTGAGGAATTTGCGGCCCATGTCCCGCTTCTGGCCGGCATCCGAGAACGTCATCTGGCTCAGGTACTTCATAGCGTACTGTAACTTCTTGTTCAGTACAGAGGCAGCGGTCGCGCCTGCCATCTCCATCTCTAGGACACTACAAACGTCCGTTAGAAGATCGCCCCGTCTAGACAGCTTGTAACGTACTGCAGCTGTGACTCGTACTCCTTCATACTCTGCGCGGCCTGGCTTGCATGTCGCTGCTTCATTAGCTTGTACGCCTCGCTGGCACCAAACGACTTGCTGCTGCCACTGGTGAACATTACGTAGCCGAAGACGTGGACGTTGAGCTCCTTCCAGGCGCGGTCGCTCTAATGATCGTGGAGCGTTAGTTAACGAGCTCAACGAACTTGAAACATAAGGCGAGTGGCTTACCTGCTTGGTGTATTGGTTCGCGAGTGCTTTGATGCCGCGGGCTTGGCTCCCGCCTTTCAAGGCGCGGTCGTTCGCGACGGTGGCCACGAGATCATCGTGCCACTCCACGAGCCACGGCAGTTTCTCCAGGATGATGTCGGAGTCCTTGAGCTCCGACTCGCTAAGCTGCAGCAGCGCGAGATGCTGCTCGTAGGTGATCCGGTCGAGCTGACCGTGCTCTTTCTTCGACACTGGGTGGGGGTCAGTGCATGTTATGAGCGCATTGAAGGGCAAGCACATACCATCCTTGCTGTGCACCTGCTTGCCTCCCGTGGGCGCATACAGCCAGCGCTGGAACATGTTCCAGGCGCCCATCTTCCTGGTGTTGCTGGGTGTCCCATCGAGGAAATCCCACAGCGACGCGCTGGGTTTGTTGAGTTGGCTCGCGAGCGTCTCCACTTGAGTATCGAACACCTCCTTCCACTCGAGCAGGGTGTCTTGGGTCTTCTTGTTGAGTGGGCCAGACTTGTGGCACGTGCCTTCCACCACGGTGTCGTCTGTGTTGTTGAGGGAGCCGTCCGCGGAGGTGGTCGACTTCGACTTCGACTTCCGGGGCGGCGCAATGCCCGAGGACTTGCCAACTTTCTTGCCACCCTGCTTCTGCTTCTGCTTCGCAGGCTCCTCCTCCTCGCTCTCCTCGTCGTCCTCGTCATCCTGCTGCTGCTCGTCGTCGCCGTCCTTGTTGTCGTTGTCGTTGTCGGCGCCTTCCACTTTCCCTTCGCCTGCGCACGCAACCACTTAAGCTCCGGGTCGTTCTGCACCTCACGCTCGAACGCCCGCTCCTCCTGCTCATCTTTCTCGTGCGGCATCATCGTATGGCGCAGCCGGTAGTTGCTCTGGTGCTCATACTTGATGCGCCGCTCCTCCACGTCGGCTTGGACCACGTAGTCGTCCTCGGAGCTGTCATTGTCGAAGCCGTCGTCGCCGCCCTTGAGGATATCGGCTAGCTTTTCCTCGCTGGACTGGGCGTCTTCACTGTGCATCGGAGGCGAGGCACAACGATGAGCGGGGGAGGACTGGGGGGACGAAACAGGGGTGGGGGGGGCAGATCTTCCCTGCAGCTGGCGTTCGACTTGGCGCGCGACGATTGCCGCCTGGTGGCGTGCGTAGTGGGCCTGCCGGTTGAAAGGCCGTCTTTGAGTGAGATCGAGTTTGGGGTGCGAAGGTCCGGCGAGCATGGCGGTGGCAGTGGCGGACCCGATGACGCTCGCGGGGATGGGGAGGGAGTCTGCCGTGGACGGGTGCGAAGCTCCGGCGGCCACAGTGAGCACAACGGTGGTGGCGGCGGCGGTGGCGGTAGTGGGAGTGGGCCCGATGATGCTGGCGGGGACGGGGAGCGCGTCCGGAGTAAATATGGACGTCGCGGCCGCCAGGGGTGCGCGGCGCGAGGACATTAATTGGTTGCGAAGCTCTTGTTCTGAGGAGGACAGGCGCATCGACTCCGAAAACTGGGTTTTGAAGGCGGCGAAGGGGGGTGGCACAAAGGCTGGGGCATCCAGTACAGGTGGGTGCGCCGCTGCAGGCCGCGGTGTGGAGCTGGCAGGGTGGCGGGCGCAACAGGCTGGTGAACTCGGTCAGTACGGTAGCCGC